TTCTTCTTCTTCTTCTTCTTCTTCTTCTTCTTCTTCTTCTTCTTCTTCTTCTTCTTCTTCTTCTTCTTTTTTGGAAAGGTCTCTCTATGTAGCCCCAGCTATCTTGGAACTCACAATGTAGACCAAGCTGTCCTGGAACTCACAAAGACCCTCTTGCTTCTGCTGAGCTCTGGGATTAAAGGCATGTGCCGCCACACTCGGGGAATATTATACCTTCATTGCTGTTTTCTAGGGCAAGGAGCCTGACAAAAAGGAGCATCACACAATGCTTAAACAGAAAATTAGCCCTATTGGAGAAGGAGAAGCCATGGGCCCATCACCAAAGAAAAGGAACACTGTGGACATGGCGCCAAATCAACCCCTTGAAGCTTCCGCTAGTGCGAAGGGAGAAGGTAAATATATCAAAGTTGGATGGGCAGATATGAGCATATTTACACCTCGCAGGAAACATGTGGAATGATGGAAGTGATGGGAGTTGCCATAGAGAGAGCAACAGGTCCAAACAGCTCCTTGCACCTAGTGTAAGACAAGCTCTTAGAGGGGGCAGATGCCCTTTCCACCTGGCTGGGCTTCTTCCTCACCTGCCTTCTCCTTTTCTCCACATTACAATGCCGGGGCGGGGGGTCAACATCACAAAAACTGTTGTGGGCATCAATAGTCTGTGATGACACTGACATTCATTCTCAGCAGCTTTTGGTATAAACAGCCACCCCTTTATTACTGACAACTTTCTGGGTTTTCTTATTTTATTTTGTGTGTGGGGGTGTTTTGCCTGCATGTGTATCTATGCTCAACTTGTGTACCTGTTATCCAAAAGAGCTAGAAGAGGCCATGGGATCCCCTGGGACTGGAGTTGCAAATGGTTGGGAGAGACCACGTGAGCATTGGGACTCAAATCTGGGTCCTCTGGAAGGATAGCCTTCTCCTCAGCCCCAGCTTCCTAAGGTGTCTTGTTCTCCATGATCCGTTTCTTACTGGTGAAGCCTTATCGCTGGCTTTTCTTCCCTTTATTTTCTTGTCTTGATTGATCATGTGATATTTCCTAACTCAGGCCATGTAAGTCTTCATTCTAGCTCACACTGTCACAGAGCAGACAGGTAGTTTCTGCTCGGTCTCCCTCCCATCTGTACCACTTCCTGACAACGGCTCTCAACCCTGCAGCCAGGGTGAGGATTGTCAGTAGGTAAATATAGTAGGCCACATTCATGCTGAGACAAAAAATTCTGTGTTCCCAAGCATGCAAGATACAACCTGACTACTGTCCCTCACCCATCAGGCCCTGCATCCCCCATTCCCACCATCTTACAGTTATCTGGACCCCAGCAGCCACCCTCAGAGTTTATGTCTTTTGTTTACTACACAGTGCCTACATTCCCTTCCCCGGCTTACACTACACACCACACCTTTTTTTCCACATCTACACGGGCTACCTCTGTCTCCTCCTCTGTTCTGCTCAGAGGACCCCTCACATAGGGAGCACCAACCTGGTGACCCTCACATAGGGAGCACCAACCTGGTGACCCTGTGAGCACCCTTGGCTGCTTTCTCTCACATTTCTGTCGGCTTCTTCTCCAACATGAGAACAGTGTAGCTCCTTTCAGTGTCTCCATGACATGGAGAATTCCACAGGAGCAGGGGACGCTCCTGTCTTCCACGTTCGCTGATGACCCCGGAAGGTGCTGGACACATCAGAACATGAGTAAATGACACAGACATGATAGAGGGAGAGGGAGAAGAACTCACCTTGGCACGAAGGGGAAAAGTCATCTTCAGATGTGGATTTTTAGTGAAGGTGTACACCTAACATTTTGACATCTGTGACCTCTTTAGCTTTTCAACTTGTAAAGTATATCAGTGTTACACTAAGCTAGGAGCACCAGGGATCTACGTTGCTTCTTCCCTGTCCTGCCCAGCTAGTTTGTATGTATTTTCTTGGAGCTACAGGTATGAGGTGGTGTTCCTCTATGCTGCACCTGGGGTCAGTTTGTCATGGCTGAGATTTTTCTCTGGTGTACTCGCCTCCTCTGAAATAATTTTAGACCCCGAGGAGCACAGAGATGATGCCTGTGTGGAGCCACTGAGGTCACTTAGGTCACAGCTTGTTTCGTCACTTTGCTTTCCAGGAGCTCCTGTCAACCAGGAAGCCCAAGAGGGGGTGATGGAGGGTCATTCCAAGTCCCCTGAAGTCTACCCGCAAGAATGTGATGAAGCGCAGCGTAAGCCTGCGGCGGGAGATGCCACTCTCCCTGGTCCGCAAGATTCTCTGCCTGATGACACGCTTCATCACGAAGATGATGATAACGTCGCAGGTGCAGGGGCAAGTGCCGACCAAGACAATTCTGAAAGCGCTGAAGATGACACAGAAATAACTTCTGTGGAAATTTCCCACTTCATTGTGAACCCAGTGGATCCAGAAGTAATTAATTATGGAATAAAACATGCCCTGATGTCGGAAATCCGACGCTATGGACGACGTAAGTACTCAAAGAATGGCTAGCAACAGAGACAAGGTACATGCCTCCAGTTGTATGATTAGAATAACCTAAAACTGCCTCACGAGAGAGAGCCTTTGCCACAACCAAGGTGTTCTACATAATTGAGTAAGATAGCTCAGTAGAATCCATCTTGCATTTGCAATGTTGCTTGGTTAGTGCTCGTAACAATTGCATCTGTATCTGTGCACAGGCATTTAGAACACACACACACACACACACACACACACACACACACACACACCATTGAACATCTGTGACCATGAAGCTTATTACTGAGGTACACACAGATTCACCAAGACCCAGTTCTCTTCTGTGAAATATTGACGTCCTCTTGTATTCTCTACAGAATATGGAAGGATTTTCAAGCTGCTGGATGAAGTGCGGGGACCCCTGGAGATCCGTTTGCATTTTGTTAAGTTCGCCATCAAGGAAGCAGCAAGGTGGGTGCCCAGAGGGACCACACATCTTAAAGCTGTTGGCTCCCTGCAGTGGTTGGCTGAGGGGTGGAGAACAGTGTCTACTGTGAGGTGCTCAGTTCCTGGCCCCCACTTTATAGTTCAGGCTGGTGACATAGATGTTTAGGTTGATGTCACCGGTGTTCAGCACATCCTTCCAGGCCTACCCAACCCTCCTTTGTCACGGTAGTCTTGAGCTGGGCACTGATCCTCAGTAGACACCTTTCCTATTGGCTAGAACACGCGGTACCCAGGAGGTACTGACTATTTTTTCCTACAGACGGTGAGCCCCTGTTTTGGATCACACAGCACTTCCTCCTGCACAGGTTCTTTGGGTATCTCTTTTTACATGATACGTATGTTTATTTTCAGGTTTAAAAGACACCACCTAATATATTATCTCGAGAAGTTACTGGAAAAAATGATGTCAGACAGCACCATCAGGAACATCGATCTAAACTCAAGCACCTGATCCTGTTTTTACAATGATCAGCAATATGCGGCACTATTTGCCCTGAATGTAGCAAGGGGATGCTGAAGCCTCCTTGCATGTGCTATCTAAGAGAATTAAAGAAAGTTGTTTTAACCTACTCTTAATAAAAGATGAGCTTTCTGTCTATGCATTTTGTTGAAAGCGTAACTTCTTGCTGGTTTGCGGCTTTTTTCTCTCCCCTCTGCTGGTTGGTGTTATTGTGTCATCAGGGAAATATCATGGCAAGTCTGCATTCTCAGGCAGGTCACCACTGTCACCTCTGGTATTTACAACTGTCTTCTTCGCCAAGTATTGCTTTGGGGCTTTTTTCTTTATTTTTGTTTTTTGATTGTTTTGTTGTTGTTGTTTGGTTTTCTGAGACAGGGTCTCACTGTATAACTCCGGCTGGCCTGAAACTTGCTATGTAGAACTCACAGAGCTCTGCCTGCCTCTGCCTCCTGAGTACTGGGTTTAAAAGTATGTGCTGATATGCCTGGCATTCCAACCATCTCTTTTTTCCCATTGTCCCGAGATAGCCCCTCAACAGGTTTTGGGGTTTGACTTAGTGAGCTGTCTCCAAGCCTTTTTACTTAACCATCTGGGCTGGGCCGTTCCCTGGCCTGTGTGAACCAAGCCACTGGAAATGTACAACACCTCTAACGACATAACACGGGAGTACTAAGGACTCCACACCTTTCACACCATCCTCCTTAGCCCTTGTAGCACGTTTAAGTATCACGTGATATCAAGTATTACTCCAGAAATTATGGAATCCTCCTCCACATGGCTGTCGATTGAAAAAGATGCAGTTTCCGTAGTGATGAGCTTTTTCCACTTCCACATCCATGGATTAATTTTGGGATCTTCTTGCAAAGATGATTCGGCAGGGTCTAAAACTGTCAAGACGGGAAAGAAGAGTTAGGTGGTTTATCCCTAGGAGTAGCAGGTAGACCTGGATCTTCCCATTACTCCCTTCATCACCAAAGACAGAAATGAGGCCGGGATACAAACTGCTTCATACACTTGGTAGCAAAAGACAGGCTTGCCACCTCCTAGGTCCTGCCTATGGAATTCCACAGGCAGTGGTGCAAGCTAGAAACACAGGCAACTCTTCAAACATGGTCATTTTAGCTAGGAATGTTGGCACAACCTTTCATCCCAGAGTTTGGGAGGCAGAGGCAGGAGGATCAGGTGTTGGGGTTTATCCTTGGCTATAATGCAAGTTTCAAGGCTAACCCAGACTAAATAAGACCCTGCAAAACTATCATTTTACTCCTGTTTCAAACCAGTCAATTTCAGTTACAGCAAACACAATGAAACAGTGCATTTCAAGAGCATGCGCACTAGATGCAGTCTCCCACTTTAAACGACATTGCTGTGTGGAGTACTGTAATGGTCAGGAGGTCATTTTCTAGGTCTATGAGAGCTGGTCTTCTCTTGATACTATGTCTAGGAAAGGAAGTCTGTGCCCTCAACAAACCTCTATGTAATGAAGAACAAATCTGCCCTTCTCCTTTTGGTCATTTTCCAAAACCATTGGCCTGCCTCCTGGAAGCCAAGTACTCACTCTGGGATGTAGTACCCTCTGTGGTCTCGGTCATTTCCCTTGTTGGGGATTTGGGTACTGAGCAGTGCGAATGATCTTGGAAGTTAATCTTCACAGGCTAGCGTGTGGTATCCAACCTGACACCGTGATCACAATGTCATGTCATAGTGTGGAAGCTTTTATTGCCCCAAAGGTTAATGGCTGTGGTCCTAGTAGCTTACAATGCTGTTTTGTCCTGCATACGACCTTAGGAACCTGGACCTGCCACTCACTGTAATGAGCTTGGAAGTAATTTGGGGGGGATCACCAATCGGTCGGGGCTTGACTGAAACCTCAACTTCGGTTTTGTGAGATTCCCAACAGAGCCCCACAGTGCTGTTCATTTACAGATTGTGGTGCTTTAAGCTGTTGGGTGAGAGAAGTTTGTTATGCCGAAGAGAGGAAACTAATAGAGGTGCTGCCTACGTGTTGTTAGTGATTAAAATCACACAGGAATTTTTTCAGTATATTTACTTTCTTGTTTTCCTTATCAACTGGCCACAGAGAACTATTCCTGAAGCGACAGATGCTATACAAGACAAACTTCTTTTTTTCTGGGCCCTATTCCAAACTAGCAGATTCTTGCTCAACATCGCAGCACACAACCCTGAGGTGAAGTGTTGCTGTGTCCCCCTTTTAAAGCTAAGATGTGGGTATTTGTTCATCTTACAAGCACTGTCTCGATATGCCTTAGATTAGGTGATCACCAAAATGTCACTCATTTCAAAGGCCCTGGTTTTGTTTGGGAACGATTTCTCATGCTCTGTTCAGTAAGTGTGCTGCCAGGGTGTCTGGATTGGTTTCCATTTCCGCATCAATGGGAATAATGCCGCCAGTTCAAAGGAATGGGGCTATGCGTTGGTAATCAAGATCCCTAATGACTACTATAGGATGTAAACCTGAGGTAAGAAGTGATACTAGGGGGTGGGAAAATGGCTCTATGAGTAAAATTCTTGCTGCACAGACATGAAGGCCTGAGTTCAAATCCCCAGAACCAACACAAAAACCAGGCCCAGTCATTTACACCAATAATCCCATTGGTGCATCTGTGGAGACAGGAGTATCCCTGGGGCTTTCCGGCTAGCCAACCCAGCTGAATTGACAAGCTCCAGGTCCAGTGAGAGAGGCTGTCTCAAAAACTAAGATGGAAAATGATTGAGGAAGACACACACGCACACACTTATGAACATGTACATACCTCAATATGCTTACATATACAGGCATAAGTATACCTCAATATGCTTGCATACACAAAGTGATGTTACGTTGCCCTTTCAAGTGAAGTCAGTCTTCTCCTTGTGACAGTCAGGTGCCCAGGAATACATTGATTGTGAAAACAAGGAAGTGTCCCAGAGAATCGCATTGGTTCCCGGAGTAATCATCTGATTACAATGACCACCACTGCAGTTATTCTCTGAGATGATGACAGCCTGCATCTTTAATTGCCAATGGCGTCACAAATCGCTCTATGACTGGAGTGTCATTTTCAGTTTGCCAGCACTATAGGTATGCAGTTCTAGTGGTTTCCACTAGGCCTTTCATATTGCAATAGCCCTTTCCCGGAAGGTCAGAGAGCCAATGTATGATAGCTGCGATGTTCTGAACGTCTATTCTAACGATAGCTTTCTGACTATCAGGCTATTAGGATATAACTGAAGGGTGAGTTCGGGAGCCTGAGACGGATGTGAGTGAAGCTGAACTGATCATATGATCGCTACTCTTACCCATGAGCCACAGCTACATTGTGCTTCCCCAGAAATAAGTGTCACTTCAGGGATGGTATTAAATAATCTCAAAATTCTGATGACTTGCCATGATAATGTTATTTCTGTTTGACTGCACCGTGGGGGGAATCCAGATTCTACATTATTTCTGAGTGTATCTGTCACAGTTCTGAACTAGATTAGCGAGTGGGTTTCCCCGGTCTTATATCATTTTTTTTTTTTTTTGCTTCCTTAACAGAGTACTTAATACTGGGAATTTTAGAAGGAGCTCGGATTTATTTCTTACAGGTTTAAAAGCTAACAAGAGCAGGGTCAGGAGCTCATATCGGATGAAGTCTTTCTTGCTATGTCACAACATGCCAGAGGCAGCATCTGCCTAGAAGAATTGAAGGACAGCCAACCTCACTCTATTTTATTTTACTTTATTATATCAAGACAGAGTCACGTGATCTCGTGATGTAGCCCTGGCTGGTCTGGCATTATGTGGACCAGGCTGGCCTTAACTCAAAGAGCTCCCCCTTCTAAGTGCTGGCACTGAAGATGTGTGCCATCACACCCGGTCAGCCTCACTCTTAAAGCCAACCTGCCCTGCTGATTACTAACCCACTCTAACATTGACGGTCCATCCAGGAATGGAGATCCCTCACGATATAATCATGTTTTAGAAGTGCTATATCTCTGCTCTGGAGGTGTTGCTTGGTTGTACAAGGCCCTCAGCTCTATCTTCAGCATTAGGAAGTAAACCTCAAGGGACACATTCAAACTATAGCATCTTCTTGGCATGGGTTGGAGTCATCCAGTCATGCTGAATAAAAGGTCTCAGCTTTGGGGGCTCATGGGGAGCATACTGTGGCAGAACGTCCTTTTGACTATTGACTTTACTAAAATATTTATTAGTGCCGTGGACATATAGACAGCCAGTGGCTCAGTCAGGGCCTAAGTGAAGTTCAGCTCCAACACCGCAGGTAGGCAGACAGTACCGTGGGAGGTCAGATTAAAGTATAGGCCTACAAGGCAGAGTTAAGCAGGGAGCTCCTTTGAGATATCAGAGGAGGCCGCAAGGGTTTTCAGCCTGAACCTACAGCCAGGCTGTCCTGGATTCCCCATCACCCAGGATGTTCATATGTCTTGATTCTATTTCTCTGGAGACACTTGAATAATTAGCCTACCTTTATAGCGCATGGTTACTCTAGTAACGGATCAGAGATCCACTTGGCAAAGGCTGGTCCTCAAGGGCAAAGCCACAGCAACGTCTGGCAAACAGAACAGCCACTAGGGAGGTGCCTAGGCTCTCCTTAGGAAATCAGTTATAAAGTCATGTCCTCAGGGCATACCAAGGTGGCCAAACAGTTCTTTGTGCAGCCATTTATGCTAATCCAGCAGTCTCATTTCGGCTTCAGACGTCTTTCTGTGAGGGGGCCACGCCCTGTCTGAGATTTGTCCTTAATTTAGAAGAAATCATCCTTGGGCTATATTTCAGCTCACTGATCAACAGGCTGTAAAAAAAGTCCTGTAATCAATGGAACGAAACCGACTCCAGAGCCTTGGTTTATTAAGCCCACACCAACGTTTAGTCTGGTTCAGTACTATTTTCCTCCTACCTTCATACACCACTTTTAAGATGTATATCTACACAGACTCCTGTGGTCCCGCCTAAACACAGAGGCGGACATCCTGGAGATCGTTTGGTAAAATACTGAAACTCTTGGTGATTCCTTTTGGGGGTCAGTGAGAGATGGTGGTGCGCTGCGCCTTCTGATGAGGATCAGCAGAGCTTCGTGAGACCTCTAGCTCCTGTCAG